AATGCGTGCACAATTATGTTAACGATGTTGACAAAAGGACAAAACGAAGAGCAAGAAAAAAAAATACAAATTCTATGAACTCAAGAAATCTATAAAGCCAAACGCCAATGTTATTCAACAATGGCAAGGAGCAAAATAAATGCCATAACAAGAACTCTGACACCAAGGCATTTCGCTAAGGCAGCTATGCCAGCGAGCACAACGTCAGTGTGATTGTAATCAACTACAAGGACAACGAATATCGGGAGGTACCGTTATATGGGGGCTATATGAAAACGTTGACCTACATGGCCCATTTACGAACTTACCCTGCCTATTAGCAACATAAACATGTGTGCAAAATTTTAGCCTTCTATCTCAATCCTGAAGACATTTGTCCTTGCTTTCAAAAATTTCAAATTCATGAAGTATAGTTTCTTTATGGCAACCTATGAGTCCACAAAGGTGCCAGATTAATGTCAAACAATTAATTTTCTTCTCCAACCGATATTTCCACCCCTCGTCCAAATACATAAATTCACTATCTACTTTCCCTCAATTCCTTCCGACTTGCGTCTCCGTCATGTCACTCGGACTGGTGTATTATTTTTATTTTGACTTCAATACGTGGTGTACTGGAAATAATCATAAAATCAATTGCTATGCCATGGGTCTTAACTTGTTTTCTATGAATTCCCAGTTTGATGGGTTGCCCGTTCCCGTTCTCATGGACATACCCTAGGCACACTTGCAATAAAATTGTGCGAAGGACGAAAAATGGGGGAGGAAAGAGAGAGGAAAAACGCATAATAAAAAAATAACAATAAAAATTGTTTAGACTTATGTCGTCTGAATATATAAATAAACAGAAGGTAGGACAAGAAGAAAAAACAACAAAAACATGGTCAAATAATAAACTCTTTCCTTATATCCTCTCCCCAACTCGTACACCCTCTTCCCAACTCATACACCCTCTCCCCAACTCTCTCCTTTTCCCAGGGGTATATAATTGTTCGCTCGCTTCTGGCAAACGAAGGGTGGACAATGAGTCTGCCGAATCAAAATGTGAAACCAAAGCAAAACATGAAAAAAGCAAAGCCAAGTAGAAAAACATTCTTTACTAGTTTTCCATAGAAAGTTAAATTGAAAAGCAACAATAATAGATTATTTGTCTGTCTGTTTGTTTACTTCTTAATTTGTGGTAGTTCCTCGAAGGTGGGTTTCTGCGGACAAGTGGGCTAAGTGATAATAAAACGTTTAATGACGTCAAATGATTGTCGCCGCCCCACCCTCTGTATTTATTATTTAATGTTCTGTGTAATAATTGATGTGAAGGGATCGGAAAAGAAAACATGACTGGAAGTTTAAAACTGTGGAGAAAAACCACTTAGGTTTTCATAAATTGTGTAATTGGCACACATAGAGCCCTTACAGGGGGTCTGCTTTGAGATACAAGTCGAAAAGGAAAGGGATATGCTTTAATAATTAATATAAATTATTTATTGAATTCCGACATGAAGGGTATATAGAAATTCAGATTTCAAGCCATACGGTGAGTTTTTTCTATTCAGCAACTAAACAGGTCTTAATATATAATAATTCGAAGTTTGAAGAAAATCGGTTACTATTTCTGAACTAAGTTTGATATTATTATTATCAAGTACAAAATTTGTTCTACGCTTGGCTTTATTTGAGATATATGATTATTTTTATATCCTACACCACATAGTGGTAAGGGTATTATGTCTTTGTCCATTTGTTTGTAATATGGAGAAAGAAGTGAGACTTTTGATGATCTGCATAGAATCACATTCTGAGTCGATTTATTAATTTCAGTCCGTCCGTCCGACCGTCTATCCATGTATTTTTGTGAACAAAATGCAGGTCGCATTTATTAGCCTATTGAGATGGAATTTTCCGAACAATATTTGTTTGGGCCAAGGGCGAACCCTATAGAAATTGGTAAGAATCGGTTCAAATTTAGATATAGCTCCCATATACAACCCTTCAGCCGGTTTCAGGTCAATTGTGCAGCAAATGGGCAATGTCAGTCTGAATGTACTTCCGACGGAATTCAGCCTAGCTATTACTCTCATTTATATGATTCATCCAATTTGGTGTTAAAGTCCCTTACATGTGTAACATTCACTCCACAACATTGAATTTTGGTACTAAATATCAGATACAGCCCTCAAATACCTCTGCCAAATTTTATCAAGATCGGGTTAGATTCGGATATAGCTACCATGTATACCTTTATCCGAGTCCATTTTTATTGTGCATTAAATGACTGATATCCCAATTGCCCAATTGAAGTAAATTGTGGCACTTCCGCCAGACTTCAGGCTAGAAGCATGTACTTCAAATTTGGAGAAAATCGGTTCAAGTATAGCTATAGTTCCCATATAAATGTTTCATTCGATTTGGGGTTTTAACTCCTTCACATTCGTAAAATACAGGGCGAGATAAAAAAACTGTAACAAAGTCAAATTCATAATTTTTAAATTTTTTTCTTTTTTGAATTTTATTGAATAAATGCAAAAAAAAAAAACATCGGAAATAGCATCGAATTTAAGAATAAGTTCAGATTTGTTCGAATTGGCCACATTTGGCACGAATTATGACCTTCAAACGGCCAATGAAACAATGAAAATGGCCAAACTCAAGCGCTTGCTTGAGGTGATCGGCACTTTGGCATTTTTTAGAGCCAACCTTGCTCTCCAAAAAAAAAAAAACTCCAGACACAATATTTCAACGGATTGGTATCCGGAAATTTTGGTGGCCATTCTGCACTGAAAATGAAGCGAGGAACCTCACTTTGTAACCATTCTTGGGTGGCGCCTGCTGAATGCGATGGTGATGAGTCCTGTTGGAATGTCGAAGGTCTGCAACCAAAGTGTTTGCGTGCCCAAAGCTTTAATACACCCTCCAGGATATTTTCGCGACAATATTCCGCATTTATTCAGATTCCACGGTCGATTAATACAAGTGGAGAGCGACCATCGGCTGTTATGGAGGTCAACACCATCACCACGGCCGTCGCTTGAGTTGGTGCTGGTGGCTGGTGGCCAAACGAAGGTTCACATTTTCAGCTGACCTCTTTGGCAAGTAAACACGATAAGTTTGTTTGTTTACAAACTGATAAACAACGAATGTTTTCTCATCGGAGGAAACCAAATTCGGTAGGTCACCACTTTCGGCCAAGCGACGCAACTCTTTAACTTTTTTAAGTCTATTTTCTTCCGGTTGCGGTGTAAGTTCTTGCACGTTTTGGAATTTCAATGGTTTTTGCAATTTTTGGAATTTCAATGGCTTTAGCCCGAGCTCATCTTTCAATATTTGCCGAATGGAATATTGCGATATGTTCACCTCACGAGCCATTTTTCAGCCACTGCGATGCGGGTTTTAATCAAGTCGCTTCTTCACTTTTCGAACTATTGCTGCTGATGTTGCTGTTTTCTTCCGTCTATTTTCTTGACGTCGGGCTACGCTACCAGTATCACGAGAAACAAAAGATTTATTCACATTTAAACGCTGGAGTGCTCCAACGATAGCCACTTGTGGTTTTCAGCCAAATATAATGAAATCACACTATCATGCTTGAATTCCATCACGAATAACTTTTTTTCTGGAAAACTCTCACCAAAATGCTTTTGCACGCCTGTATATAATATAGAGAGCAGTCACTGGAATAATTTTAACAGCTATCGGACGAGTGGCTTAGAAGCGACAGCAGCAGTAGTTGGTTGTAGTATTTTGATCTCACCCTGTATATAATAGTACTTGACATATCACCGTTATTTTGTGCTGTGCTCGGGAGACGATTTTCAAAATCTTCAAAATTTTGTTTTAATAATTTTATTTAAGGTTTTTGGAATGGATATAATTAAAAGGATGTCCTTATTAAACACGACATTTTTTTCTCGATAAATCCTTTCTTCACTATTTTTGGAAGATGCTACATTTTTTTTAGAAAATTCAAGAGTTTTTGTGAAGCAAGGGAATCCTAAGGTAAAGTCTTCTAAATGTTTACTATCGTTAAAAAAAGCTTAATAGGTCAGGAGATCTTTGAATTCCAAATAAATAATAGATCTTGACTAGACATGTTTTTACGACTCATATATTGTTAAGAAGTACTTAAAAATTAATAAAAAATCAGGCGGTTTGTGTGCAGCTCAGAAAGATATTAATACAAAATCTTTGTAACCTGACCAAGAAATCTTGACAAATATCTATAAAAAAATAACGGATAATAATTTTTGAAAATTCTACTTCTTGGCCAGGAAGCCATAAAAAATCCCCAATTCGGTAAGCGAAAAATATTTTCTTTAAACAAAAAAAAGTGCATGAAAATCTTGCAATAGTATTATTTATAAATCTACGATTTCTTGGAATACATTGAAATTAGGCAAGATTATAGTAGGGCTAGCATGATAGGGAATACACTTCATCATCATAACTTGCGGCAAAGTTCCTGTAAGTCTGTAAATTTCTGTAAATTCCGGTATATATTTGTATACAATATCCGACTCGTCATAAAAATCAGAATCAATAGAATGGTCAAGAGTATAATTTTCATATATTTGTGATTTTGCCGCCAGGTGATTTTCAGCATTAGAAACAGTCTCGATTAAATGGAATTTTTTTTTTCAAAAATTGGGAAGAATTCTAGTTTTATGGATTTCATCCATACTAACTTTTAAATTTATTGCAAATTCCCAACCATCCTTAGCATCAAAACGTCCGTCCATTGATTTCCCACATTAATTAATTTTATGATACCATATGGACTCCCTTAGCACAAATAAGAAAATCGCACATTTATTTACCTTTACCCAGCCGATGAAGTCATTTTGGAAAATTGTTTTCTCTTTCCCCCCTCTCAGTCCTGCTTTATGTACCTTATCCAATTTAATGCTAAATTAATTTAATTATGTCTATGTCATTTCTTCAATAATGTTGTTCAATTCTCAGTTCAATTTTCTCATGTTATTTTTTCTTTTTGCAATCTTTCATTACAGTTCTTCCAGAACAGCCCATAATATTGGATCGTTGGGGTCGTCAATTAAATGGTACGAAATTGGGGCCAAAACAGGAAGGTGATGATATTGTTATAACCTGCCGGGTGGTGGGAGGTAAGTATTTGGGTTTTGAAACGAGAAATTTGTTTTTGTGTGTTTGGCAGTGGCCATTAATGCTGTTCACAGAATTGTTGGGAAATTGAGTTTTTTTGTGGGTGTTTTCATCATTTGTGGACTTTAAATATCCACCTGGTTTTCTTGGGAAATTCAGAAGAAAAAACATTTTAAATTTTCTTCCAAAAAAAAGGAAAAAAAACTATAGCCCAGTAATCTTCAAATGACAACTGTGTGACTGGCTTACACACACAAACAAAATATGTTTTTTTTTTCTTAATACCCATAAGTATGTGTATGTGTGTTGTAGCTGAATGGGGGAGAGATGTGTTGGACAAATCTCCCCCAATATCCCCTCGAATGGATTTTAAACCATGGATTGCCAATGGATTTGTCGCTTTTTTGTGAGACTTTATGTAATTTAAGAATTCAATTTCCCTTTTAATTTCCCAAAAGCATTGACACACCAACACATTGCCAAAAAACAATATGGGGTACTACATATTTAGTGGAATATTGGCGGAACTTGGGATAACTGAATGATAAGAGAATTCCGATAGGAAAAATATGTTCACAATTGCCTGAGGAGGCGATAAATTACTCTGTGGAAGGAAGGGACTTCTGCATGGACCTACTAAATTTTTCCAAAAATATATGACCCTATATTTGGAATGCTTACAATTTTCTCTGACATCAAGTGTTTCACAGGAATATCAAACCTGACCTTACCCCAAACTTATAAAATAAAATCCATGATATACCCCACCACCGCCAATTATTTCCCAAAATCCCCAATAATTTCCCTGCTAGCCTCCATTTCTAAATCCTTCCGCAATCGATCAATCCACATGTCCACCAAAACAAATCCCACAACTACGACCCATATGTGTCTATTTGCCGCAACACTTGTGTCGACTCTCACACAAATCCATAGACACAATTTTCGCCTAAACTCTAAGTCTAGAACGGCTATTCGTTTTTCTCTCTGTTTTCGTTTTTTTTTTCCGATACGATTTTTGGGAAAGGCATAAATACTAAATGCTATTTCTGAGAACAGTCTTTTTTTTTTTTCTCTATCCCTCTCACTTCTCTACCACATTGTTAAAGAATAAAACTGATTTTGTATTTCCTATTTCGTTTCGTTTCTTTTTTTCAATTTCTCTATTCTTTTTATCGCAACGTGTATTTTTTCTAATTCGGCAATGGCTGCTGTCTGCTGGATGGATGGATGAATGAATGGATGGATACTTTGGTTAACGGCTGGCTGTATCTGTGTGAAACCTGTGGCAAAACCCAAAAAAATCTCCCACATTTTTTTGGTGCTGCTTAAATACTCTACCCATGGACCAAATCTCAACAAAATCGCATTGCAACCGGCTTAATGGGAATCGCCTTTGAAAACACCCGCACACACACACGCTCTCACATCGACGTTTATTGATTTGAATATAAACACCAACCGCACCACCTTCTACACTCAACCCAAACCCAAAAAACACCCAGGACGACCACAACCACAAGTGCGATGGCTGGTCAATGGTCTGCTGGTGGACAACCAATACGAACATTATTCCGGTGATGTTATCGAGAATCGTTTGCTATGGCCATCGGTTCAACGAACGGATTTAAATTCCGTTTTCACATGCCAGGCTCTGAATACGCAATTAGACAAGCCCAAGGAAAAGAGCTTCATCTTGGATATGCATTGTAAGTATTAACCAAACAAAGCAACAACACAACACATTTGCGACTAATGGAAGAAAGAACATTCCCCAAAAAAAAAAAAAAAAACACAAAGAGGGCAAAAAAAGAAATAAACAAATTTTCTTCGGCAAACTGCAACAGATTTGCCGGAGTTGCTAATGGAATAAAAATTAAGGAAGCCTATAGTTGAACGATTAATAAATTTAACATTAAAGGGAGACTTTGACTCTCAAAATATTGGTAAAGGTATACATATGAAGAGGTATACGGCGAGAAGAGCTACAGCAGTTCTTCTATGGCGAGAAAATCTGCAGTTGCTCATTTATATCGATAAGAGCTACAGCAGCTCTTCTATGTGTCGAAGAGCTCCTATAGCTCTCCTACGTATAAAAGAGCTCTCCTATAGCTCTTCTACGTATAGAAGAGCTCCTATAACTCTTCTATGTATAGAAGAGCTTCTAAAGCTCTTCTACGTATAGTAGAGCTCCTATAGCTCTTCTACGTATAGTAGAGCTCCAATAGCTCTTCTGTGTATAGAAGAGCTCCTATAGCTCTTCTGTGTATAGAAGAGCTCCTACAGCTCTTCTGTGTATAGAATAGCTCCTACAGCTCTTCTGTGTATAGAATAGCTCCTACAGCTCTTCTATGTATCAAAGAGCTCCTATAGCTCTTCTATATATCGAAGATCTCCTATAGTTCTTCTATGTATCGAAGAGCTCCTATAGGTCTTTTATATATCGAAGAGCTCCTATAGTTCTTCTATGTATCGAAGAGCTTCTAAAGCTCTTCTAGTATCGAAGAGCTCCTATAGCTCTTTTATGTATAGAAGAGCTCCTATAGCTCTCCTACGGATAGAAGAGCTCATGTATAGCTCTTCTATGGATAGAAGAGTTCATGTATGGTTCTTCTATGTATAGAAGAGCTCCTATAACTCTTCTATGTATAGAAGAGCTCCTATAACTCTTCTATGTATAGAAGAGCTCCTATAACTCTTCTATGTATAGAAGAGCTCCTTTAGCTTTTCTATGTATAGAAGAGCTCCTATAGCTTTTCTATGTATAGAAGAGCTCCTATAGCTCTTCTATGTATAGAAGAGCTCCTATAGCTCTTCAATGTATAGAAGAACTCCTATAGCTCTTCTATGTATAGAAGAGCTCCTATAGCTCTTCTATGTATAGAAGCGCTCCTATAGCTATTCTATGTATAGAAGAGCTCCTATAGCTCTTCTATGTACAAAAGAGCTCCTATAGCTCTTCTATGTATAGAAGAGCTCCTATAGCTCTTCTATGTATAGAAGAGCTCCTATAGCTCTTCTATGTATAGAAGAGCTCCTATAGCTCTTCTACGTATAGAAGAGCTCCCATAGCTCTTCTATGTATAGAAGAGCTCCTATAGCTCTTCTATGTATAGAAGAGCTCCTATAGCTCTTCTATGTATAGAAGAGCTCCTATAGCTCTTCTGTGTATAGAAGAGCTCCTATAGCTCTTCTGTGTATAGAAGAGCTCCTATAGCTCTTCTGTGTATGGAAGAGCTCCTATTGCTCTTCTGTGTATAGAAGAGCTCCTATAGCTCTTCTATATGTAGAAGAGCTACACCAGCTCTTCTTGTATAGAAGAGCTCCTATAGCTCTTCTGTATCGAAGAGCTTCTATAGCTCTTCTATGCATCGAAGCTCTTCTATAGCTCTTCTATGTATAGAAGAGCTCCTATAGCTCTTATATGTATAGAAGAACTCCTATAGCTCTTCTATGTATAGAAGAACTCCTATAGCTCTTCTGTGTATAGAAGAGCTCCTATAGCTCTTCTGTGTATAGAAGAGCTCCTATAGCTCTTCTGTGTATAGAAGAGCTCCTATAGCTCTTCTACGTATAGAAGAGCTCCTATAGCTCTTCTGTGTATAGAAGAGCTCCTATAGCTCTTCTGTGTATAGAAGAGCTCCTATAGCTCTTCTGTGTATAGAAGATCTCCTATAGCTCTTCTGTGTATAGAAGAGCTCCTATAGCTCTTCTGTGTATAGAAGAGCTCCTATAGCTCTTCTGTGTATAGAAGAGCTCCTATACCTCTTCTGTGTATAGAAGAGCTCCTATAGCTCTTCTGTGTATAGAAGAGCTCCTATAGCTCTTCTGTGTATAGAAGAGCTCCAATAGCTCTTCTGTGTATAGAAGAGCTCCTATAGCTCTTCTGTGTATAGAAGAGCTCCTATAGCTCTCCTACGAGCTCATATAGCTCTTCTGTGTACAGAAGAGCTCCTTTAGCTCTTCTGTGTATAGAAGAGCTCCTATAGCTCTTCTGTGTATAGAAGAGCTCCTATAGCTCTTCTGTGTATAGAAGAGCTCCTATAGCTCTTCTGTGTATAGAAGAGCTCCTATAGCACTTCTGTGTATAGAAGAGCTCCTATAGCTCTTCTGTGTATAGAAGAGCTCCTATAGCTCTTCTGTGTATAGAAGAGCTCCTATAGCTCTTCTGTGTATAGAAGAGCTCCTATAGCTCTTCTGTGTATAGAAGAGCTCCTATAGCTCTTCTGTGTATAGAAGAGCTCCTATAGCTCTTCTGTGTATAGAAGAGCTCCTATAGCTCTTCTGTGTATAGAAGAGCTCCTATAGCTCTTCTGTGTATAGAAGACCTCCTATAGCTCTTCTGTGTATAGAAGACCTCCTCTAGCTCTTCTGTGTATAGAAGAGCTCCTATAGCTCTTCTGTGTATAGAAGAGCTCCTATAGCTCTTCTGTGTATAGAAGAGCTCCTATAGCTCTTCTGTGTATAGAAGAGCTCCTATAGCTCTTCTACGTATAGAAGAGCTCCTATAGCTCTTCTACGTATAGAAGAGCTCCTATAGCTCTTCTACGTATAGAAGAGCTTCTATAGCTCTTCTACGTATGGAAGAGCTCCTGTAGCTCTTCTACGTATGGAAGAGCTCCTGTAGCTCTTCTACGTATGGAAGAGCTCCTGTAGCTTTTCTACGTATTGAAGAGCTCCTATAGCTCTTCTACGTATAGAAGAGCTTCTATAGCTCTTCTACATATGGAAGAGCTCCTGTAGCTCTTCTACGTATGGAAGAGCTCCTGTAGCTCTTCTACGTATGGAAGAGCTCCTGTAGCTTTTCTACGTATGGAAGAGCTCCTGCTCTATAGCTCATCTTTACATAGAAGAGCTTCTAAAGCTCTTCTTTACATAGAAGAGCTTCTATAGCTCTTCTACGGATAGAAGAGCTTCTATAGCTCTTCTTCTATGGATAGAAGAGCTCCTGTATTTATAGCTATAGATACAATTGTTTTTTTACTTCTTTTATGGATAGAAGAACTTCTATAGCTCTTGTTTTGGGTTTTTGCGTGTGCGTTTGGCCCATAACCCCACATTTTTATAGCCCTTTTCCCCTTCCATAAAATTTTGTCAACATTCCTGTGTAATTAAGCTCCATTTATTTTGATTTGTTTGACTCTTAATTGTGTAATCCACCCAACAAGGTATCACATAAAAAACCAATCCCCCACAAAACTATAATTTCCAGCATAATTACAATTTAATTTCCGACAGGAATGTTGACTTCTAGACTAACAACCACATTTCATTCCGTTGTTTAGTGTTACAGAGTTTCCTGCCCACCTCTCCAGTCGGCACTTAAGCCAACAATAGCCACTCTAGTAGATATGCCACTGACCAAGTGGGTAATTTGTCTATTGACTTACGTATGTATATTTAACAGACATAACATTTGAATTGAATTTGAATAAATGTGGTTCGTAAAAGGGAGGATTGTTGATACCTCCAATGCAGAATAGAAATGTGGTGACTCCTACTTTTGGCACATGCAAATTTTTTTCTTCACCCATTTGAAATGTTTGGTTGGCCGAAGGCAAGAGGACCTCCGTTTGTAAGGAAACATTTGCGTTTGCCTCCATTTGTCCAAAGGTATTATTTTCTATGGCGAGACATAATTCCTTAAGTCTAGCCTTAAGTTTTTTTTTTTTTTCATACACAGTGCAACATTTGCAGAACCTTTAATTTTTCTTTTATAGACCAATATTTGTTGCTTACATTGTTGTTGTTTTTTCTCTTTTCATTTCATTTTTCGTCCTATAGTGAAACCACTTGAAGTAAAAATAATAGACCCACCCAATTCAATGGTGGCCGATAGACGGTACGAGGTAACATGTGAATCAACCGGTTCCCGACCAAATGCCATCATTACCTGGTATAAAGGAAAAAGGCAATTACGCCGAACGAAGGTAAGTCGTTTGTTGTGTATGTCCAAAAAAAAAAAGGAAAAAACAACGAAATGGAAAAGGTAATATATAATATGTTGAAGAAAATATGTGTGTGTGTATATATTGAAAGGAAAGGTATGTAAGAATATATGTTTGGTGAAATTCAAGGAGTGGGTTTTCAAATTGATGAGGCATTGTAAGTCCTTGTGGAAAGGAAGGCTAAGTGGAATAAAGGGTGATGGTGTTGTGTCCAACAATGGAAGATAATAAAATGGGGTAACTAACGTTATTATGCATGGTTCAGTGTGTATCTAATGCAATTTCATGGTATACACCCGAGAAAAAAAAATGCGATTTCGGAAATTCAACACGTATTGTCTGAAATTATACTGAGGTTTACGGGACGTTATTTTGGTTAAAAGATTGGAGAGATAATCACAAATAACTTACAGTTCTCTTGCAACGTAACGAGTGAATGCGACACAGGGTGTGAATCTTAAGATCAAACGTTCGTAAGTTCGGGTCGTCCAAAAAACGCAACACAAAACAAGTAAAAAAGCTGTAAATTCGGCCGGGCCGAACTTTGAATACCCTTCACCATTTTGAACAAATTTGGCAATTTTCAAAAAAACCGTACCGTTATATGGGGGCCTATACGAAGACGTGGATCTGCACAGAAAATTTTTTGTCTTTGGCTGTAGTATCCACTACGAACTTCAAATACCAAAATTTGAAACAATTTCGGCGAATAATGTCGCTAAAATCATCAAAATATTGAATATCGGGAGGTACCGTTATATGGGGCCTATACGAAGATGTGGTTCTGCACAGACAATTTTCTTTCTAAGGCTGTAGTATCCATTAAGGATTTCAAATACCTAAGTACCGCTAAAATCATCAAAATACCGAATGTCGGTATCGTTATATGGGGGCTATACCAAAACGTGGACCTACATGGCGCATTTTCTATACCAAAAGTCCTGCAGACATAACACACATTTTTGTAAAATTTTATTAACCTACTTCATTTCGTTCGGAAGCTAGAGTGATTCTTACAGACGTACAGACGGGCGGACATCGCTAAATTGTCATAAAATTTTATGCTGATCAAGAATATATGAACTTTGTGGGGTCTAAAACGTATATTTCGAGGTGTTACAAACGGAATGAAAAACTTAATATATCATCCATACTATGGTGAATATGGCAATAGTGTAGAGTATGTTGTGTCGAGTTCTCGATCTGAAAATCGGTAGTTCCAACCCTTCGCTCTAACGGAATTTATTTATTGACACTTTCATCGAAATATCCTTGTTTGAATAAGGGACCAGTATGCTGTTTAGTCCACAGTTACTGCTTCCAAAAAGTACTTACTGAAGCCATTACCAGGTTATGGGGTATTATGATAGAGATTATCACTGTATCATATCCAAGACTTTTACTGCAAAAGCTAAATTATTTATAAGTGGCATCATCACCAAAGCCTTATATGCCCTCATTTCAGATTCCTTTTAAAGACAATTCATTATTTCGAAGGTCGATCAGATATATAATTCGGGATACTTTTCAATGACTTTAAGATATATAATCGAAAAGAGCTTATGTCGTGGATTCTTTTGAAAAATTATCAGCGATGCAATCGTAAGTTCATTTAATATATCTCTAGTCGAGCATTTCTTACAATGACACTTAAAGCTGGAAAAGAGATTAAATTGGTTTTTTTAGATCTCGAATCCTGCATATTTTCAAAGACTTTCACAGTTTTTCCAAGAAATTCATTCCGGGATTTTTCTGAAAGACTTTCTAAGCTTCAATGGTGATTTTTCTGAAAGACCTTAAGAATGACTCTTTAAGCTCGTATCTCCAGTCATGGATTTTTTAATACTTTTACAGTTGCAGATTTGCATATTTCTGAACAACACTTATAATCATGGAATTTTTAACACTAACAGTTTTAGTGCTTCAATCATAAATAAAATTAATAAAATCTCAAATCGTGAGCTTTTCTGAATATCCTTTGAAGCCCAGTCCTGGCTAGGATTTTTCGGAACAACATTTAAGGCTCCAATTCCACTGTGTATGACATTTGGAAATGCAGACTTTAAGAAACATAATCGAGATTTTTCTGAAAGTACTTTATTCTTGGGTTCTGTTCAAAAACTATCAGCAGCCCAATCCTGAGTTAATTGGAAAGATCTCTAGTCGTGTATTTCCTTAAATGACATTTAAAGCTCAGACAAGAGCTCCAATCGTGGGTTTTTGAGAAAAAAGGTTTAGAGCCCTAATGTAGGATATTTTTAAAGACATCAAAGTGCTTGTAAGAAATTCATTTGGGGAATTTTCTACAAAATTTTTTGAGGATTTGTATTGGATTTTTCTGAGAGACCGGATTTAGTCTTGAAATATGTTTGGAACTCTAGAAGTGGTTGTTTTAGATATTTTTTGAGCTTCAGTTGAGGAGATTCAATCATGGAATTTTTAGCTCCAATTGTGGTTTGACAGTGTAGTGTTGGCAATGATTTTTTAATCAACTATAGAGCTCCAGTAAATTTTTTCGAAGGTCTTTATAGCTCTAATATTGGATTTAACTGAAAGAACTTTAGTCCTTACATCGTGGATTTTTCTGATAAACTTTTAGAGTACCAATCCTAGATTCTTCAAAATTGTTTTAGGACGTAAATTATGGATTTTTTTGAAAAAATTTTGGAGTCGCGTATATTCCAAAATATCTTGCAGCTTCGATCGTACATTTTTCAATAGTTTCAATAGTTAATTTTTTAGAAAGATTTTATTGCTTAACTCCTCTATTTTTCTGGATTACTTTTCGAGCTCCAGTCACTTTAATAAAGGCTTTTGAAAGGCTTTTAAATTTCTGATAGCAGAATTTTCTGATATCTTTTGAAATCCCTTTAAAGCTCGTATCTTGATTTTTTCCGGAATATATTTAGAACTGCTATTAGGTATTTTTCTAAGAAAAAATTTGCGGTTCCAGTCTTTTTTTTTTACCCTTCACCATACATAGTATGGAGGGTATATTAAGTTCGTCATTCCGTGTGTAACTTTAGACCTAACAAAGTAGATATATATAAAAATCAAGACGATTTAGCCCTATCTGCTCGCCCGTCTGTTGTAGTCTTGCTAGAGTCAGAACGAATTAAGATAGGAAGCGAAAAATTTGACAGATCAAGTATTTTTCTGCAGGCAGTTCCAGTTCGAAGAATGGGGTATAACGGTACCCCACAATATTCGGTATTTTGATGATTTCAGCCACATTTTGGAATTAGGGAAAATTATGGTATTATCTGAAAAATAACACAAGCACTTCCTTTTAAGTACTTTACCCGCACGCTATTGTATATTCCCCACACAACGGTTCCTCTGATATTCGGTATTTTAATCCTTTTAGCGACATATTTTTCCGAAATTGTTTCAAACTCCGTACTTAAAGTTCGTAATGGATACTACAGACTATGACAAACAATTTGTACATGCTGGTTCAAGTCTTCATGTAGCCCTTATATAAAGATATCCCCGATTTTCGGTATTTTAATGAGGACATTATTCACCAGAACTGCTTCAAATTTCATATGTAACGCTCGTAATGGGTAATACAACCTATGACAGAAAATTGTTTATGCAGGTCCACGTCTTGTTAAAGGTTCCCTATAATGGTGCCCCCCTTTGTCCGACATGTTGATGATATTAGCGACATTATCCACCGGAATTGCTTAAAATTTCGCTTTTAAAGTTCGTAATGGGCACTACAGCCGATGGCAAAAAAATAACTTATAAAGAACCACGTTTTAAATTTTGCGGAAATTCTTAAAGTTCCTTCAAAAGTTTGGCCAGCGGAACTTACCTGTTTATCATTATCTGCTCTAATGTTAAATTTTCCCGAAAGCCACTAAAGTTCCAAATTGGTATTTTTTTTAAATTAAGTCTATATTTCTAATGGTTTGTTTATCGGTGTATTTGCAGGCCGAAAGCGGGGGCCTATATTGTCATGCCTTGTACCTGCTGGAGAACTCCAAATACCAAATGTTATATATATATATATCTCTTAAAAAAATATATAAAAGAATGAGGCATAAATCATAAAAATACCGAATATATTTGTATATTTATAGATTATTTTCTTTCAAAGAGTATATATCAAATTCAGATTCCAACTTTAAGATATTTCCGTTGAGCAATATCGTTAAAGGCGTGAAAATACTAAATATATGGGAACCATACGAAGCTTGGACCTGTGCAGGCAATTTTTCTGTCATAGAAAGAAATACCCATTAAGAACTCCAAAATCTAAATTTGAAATAATCTCGGTGAAAAATGTGACAAGAATTGTGAAAATTCTGAATAGTAAGAGGAACAATTATATGAGGGCTTTACTAAAATGTGGGCATATGTAGATTGTTTTCCCTCGTAGGAAGTAGTGCCCAATGTCATTCTAAATTTGAAATAATTCTCGCTTAAATAATAAAAATGCCGAATATAGGGAGGTATCATAATACGACGGCTTCGTATAGCCGTGCATTTATATATACAATTTTCTGTCGGGGGAGGTACTACCCATGCAAGCTTCGAGTTCTAAAATTGAAAGATGTTAAAAAATGTGGTAAAATAGTCAAATTCCTGAATATTATTAGGCACAGTTATTTGGGGACTATAACAAAACCTAGACCTTTATACATAATTCTCTGCAAGATTGTTTCCTGCCAACGGTTATATGGGGGTCATACAAAAACGTGCAACTATATGGCTCAAGTATATTGCCCTAATTTTTTAACTCCCTTAATTTAAAAAGGTCTTAAAATCGTTCTCCACTAATAAACAAACGTTGTTTTTATAAAAACAACAATAAAGGGATAAGCCTGACCATTTTGCAACAACAAAATACTACGGTATCCCGAACAAACAAGCCACACTGGTCTTAAAAAAATTCAATATTTTTTATGACGGTGTTGGTTTAAAATTTTGGTTTTGCCAGGAGTATCAAAAATAAAAAACACTGTGCAACAAAA